TGTCAGCTCTGCTGTGCTGTCTCACAGCTGGCTGAGTGGGTCACTGCGACAGATCACCTCCGTTTGGCCACGGCATCGCCAACCTCCAACCCCTGAGAGAGTCCATTTGAAAAAATTAAATGTTAAGCCTGTCTGAAACACACATCACATCACATACACGTGAGTGCAACACTTACTCACCTAATGCACATACAGAAATTATACTAAAACAACACACAGGCACACATTAGATGTGAGTGAAAGAAGAAGCAACAGACCACAGACGAGGAAAGAACCCAGACATACTCACAGTTTTGCCAGACAGTATTTCATGAGTAAGAGACTGAATGAGTCATCTGTTCATACTCGCCAAATGCCTCTTCCTTTTGTCCCTCAAATGTTAACATTGAATTAGACAAACTAGCTGACAAGAGAGACTGTAATCTTTACCGTTTCCAGCAACATTTTCTTTTTTAGATTTACATATATTGTTCTGTCAAAATAAAGCAGAAAAATGCAGAAAAAGAAAAGAAAAGAAGAATGTATGCTTTCTTGAAGAAATTGTAGCTTTTATTCTTATTTTCTTTTCTGCATTCTGGCACCCTGAAACTGAGTTGGGTTATGAGCAATGCACTGATAAATGTTAATGCTTTACTGGACACCACGAGGATGCTTTTTACCACTAAAACTAATGGATGTGTTTGAAAACACAACTCTTACAGTGCATTCCAGGCTAGATGAGCCTCTCTCAACCTATTTTAAGGTGTGGTGTGTTTGTTTATTTATATATTTATTCATTGCCTGGCATTGTGGTTGATTTCTGCTATGAATGAGAAAGCTGCCTCCTCCTCACAACCTTGACCTTTCAGACACCTCCAGTGTAGATGGGATGTACTTTTGGGAAAGTCTCCCCTTCTAGCTTTCCAGAGATGCAAGAGATTTAAGGGGGTCAGGAAAGGGGGCTGCTAGATAGAAATCTAATTAGGTGATTGTGCTTGAGGGAGCTTCGCTTGCTGCTCAATAAACTCCCACACACACTTGCTCTCCTCCTTCTCATTTTCCTCTCTCGCTTCACTCTCTATCTCCCTCAGCAGTTTGTACTCACCCCGAGATGCCGCCTGAGAGTCCCCCTGCTGAGGGCACAGTCACAGGATGCAGATCATGGCTCACTTACTACATCTTCACTGCTGTTCATATTTCTTCAAAGAAATGACTGGATTCATACCTCGGCTTATAATAAAGCTTTTGCTTTAAGTGACTTTTCTTTGCTCATTATTCGTTTACCTTTAGACTGAAATAAACCTGAAAGAGATTCAAAGAGAGATGAGAAGATAAGATCAGGTCTGTTTTGGCATATAGCCCGGCACAGCTCGGTTTTATTTCTCACTATGGATTGATCGGATGAGTGATTGTCTTTGCTTTAGCTCAGTGCTTCTGTGTTTGTGTGAGAATAAACACTCATGTAAAGAAGACGAATGCAATTCAAAACAGTTGAGTCCTACAAAGAACTAATGCATTTCTTTGAAGGAAAAAGTTGCGAGCCCCTTTGCACCATACAGACAAAGGCAGTCTATTGTCAGGATGTGTCAGTCCAGGTAGGAAATGTGATAAAATGTCTCCTTTTCTGAAGCACTGCTGCACCTCGATTCACAGGAAAGTGGCAAATCTCAACCCTTCACTGTGTCAACAACACAATGTGAAAACAATACATGTAGAGGTTTGGACGGACATTACACACAGCTGGTGTATATTTCTCTCAACCCCAAGCAAAGTGGTTTGAATATATTCCCAAGCACATGCAATACAGAATGAACATTAGGTCTGATATGTTAAAGAGAAATGTAATCTGAACAGCATTAAACATGTCACAGAATTTATTTTTCTACTACAGTATAATTTCATTCATATGGTTTCATTTTTAGCCTACCTATTAAAATGTGCAAGAATTAGAGCCTCACTCTCAAAACAATAAAAGCCATCACAGAAACTATAGCAATCAGGACCATACATTTTAGATTGCAATGATATTTTTTCTTTCTCTTTGAGTCACCTTTGTAGAAATACAGGCAATCTTTCCTGGTTCATTTCTATGCATTTCTGTGTGTTTCTCTAATGCAGATTTTGCAGTGTGCTAAGGAAGAAGCGTGTGATTTACCCTGAAATCATGCCGTAGCATTTTGTAATTACAAAGTAAGCCATATTATCCCAAACAGCCTCCCTGAGCTGTGGGTATGACTAAGCCTGTTCTGTGTCTGTGATGCAACGTCAATGCTGAGGAGCTGTTTATTGTGAAGGCACAATTGTGCCCCGGAAGTGTGCTCGGCAGTAGCTTAGTCACAGTAACTGCATAGCCACCACTCAGGCTCATAATTCAGAGTTGTGTGCAGTGCTAAATGAATGAGGCTGTCTTGCACAAACAGGCAACATGAGCTTAAAAATCACACAATAAAGCAGATGTCTTGTGCGAGAAAGGTGCGGAGTATATCTACAGCATCGTTTAAATAATCAATTTGCAGGTGGATGATAAATTAGGGACACATTTTTCTGGAAAGGACAAGAATGAGAGGGAGATACTTCGGAGAAGATAAATGCAAACGACAAGGAATCAGAGGAAAAGGAAATCATAGTGATGAATAGAGAAAGCCGGCAGAAGAGGCAAAGAGGTGGAGGAGAAAAAATAGACAGAGGAAGGGTTCAGTCCAGTAAACAAAGCCATGTTTAACATTTTATAAGTATCCTGCCCCTTAAAGAGGAGAATGTAACAGCTGAGTAATGGTTTGATATATTTCCCTCGATCTTATCTGATACCGTAAGCTTTTGTGAGACCAGACAAAGGAATTGCAGCCATCGAACATGCTGCTTTAATCATTCTGAGAAATGCCTCACTTAATAGTAGTTCTGGGGGTTGTTTGTCATGTGTGTCTCTGCTGATTTCTAACACTGCCTCTGAACAGTTCACCTGTGTGCCTGTATGTGTGTGTGTGCGAAACAGAGGTGGGGGCAAGACTTACTTCAAGATAAAACTTGTCTTCCTTAGGTAAAACATAGAAAAAGAGCATGTATTGGGGCATTGTTTTAGCAAAAACAAATTATTAACATTCCCCAGACTTCAAATTCAAAATGATTTGGGTGTCTTCTTACAAAGTGGTGGTTGTTAAAGAGATTGCCTCTCCTTTGCCAACTATTCACCATTTATATAAGCCCAGCCCTGTTTTAAGTAAATCTTTTGTGATCAAAAAAGTCTCTCCTATGATTCATCCTAATGATTATAAACAAATGCAGAATTGTTTATGTTCAGAGTGAAGATCCTAAGCCAAGAAAGCCACTTTGTGTAGAATGAGAATAGGCAAGTGAGAACAGCAGCTGTATATCTATTGGGAGTAATGCTATACATGCTTGAGAAGGCAGACAGGAGTGGGATGAACTGTTGCTAAACAAATACCTAAGCTATCAAGGGCTAAGACAGAAAATAATCAAAACTGAGCTTCCAGAAAGTCAGTGGATGCTGTTTTTTCTGTAAACCAGGATAAAAACAATTAGTGTATTATTGACAGAATGACATTTGCCATCTGTGTTTCGTGTCTGCTGCATTCTGTGATAGACACACAACAACAGCAGCGGATGCATATTCATTCTTGTTAAAACTTTCATTTTTGAATGTATTTAATGTTGTTGTTGCATTACTGTTACTCATTAGATTGTAACGTTTTTCTTGTACTTTTACAAGAAATGTACTTTTAAGGAATAGTTCAAAATTTTGGTAAATACGTACTTGCTTTCTGGTGGATGGTTATAAGATCGATACCTCTCTCATATCTGTATATATGTCTACAGGCAGCTTAGCACAAGACTGCAAACCAGTGGAAAACGCTAGCCTGGCTCTGCCCAACAGATAGAGAAGTTGTTTGGTACATAACTTCCTGTAAAACTGTATTTTTAGTTGTTTTTTTTACACTTTTGTTTTACAGATTAAACAAATAATATATAACGTTAAACACGTTATATCTTATTAGTGTGTTTTAGAGGTGCTAGTAAAGTTAAAAAATGGCTCATCATGCTGCTCTGCTGTTGGTCTACTGTCTGCTTACCATTCATGTAGAGAATTTTGTCATTTACGCTACTTTTAAAACACATCCTGCATTTCGAATGCACTGTAATGTTGTCTACAATTTCTATGTTGTTTTTTTGTTTTGTTTTTTAGTGTAATGCAGTAAACAAAAGTGAAAGGAATCAAAATAATAATATGTGGACTCAGTAGTGCACCGGCAGAGGAGGAAACAGAGCAGACAGATGTGATGTGAAAATATCATTTATCAGCTTGTGGTTTGATGCTGGCTGCAGATTAATAGGATGAGAGGAGGATGAATTGTCACCAAGAGGCCTGTGTTAAGGTGAAAAGATCTCCAGGGGCTGTTTGATGTCTGTTCAGCTCACAGTGAATCCTATCTCATCTTATTGTGTCCACACAGAGTTCTCAAAATTGGATCACAGTTGAGTTTTATCTTTCAACGTGGATCACTATTATTGCATTAGATAGGAGGACTACACCGTCACCAAGTCTCCATGTCTTTCTTTCTGTTCCTCTGCACATTTGAATTTTGACTTTGCTCCGTCATAGAGCAAATATGGCAGCCTCATAGAATATCTGTGTCCTTTTCTGTCCAAAAAAAGCTTTTTAGTGAAGCATTTTATGATAGTTTTGCATTTCTAACATTAAGACATTCTTTTTTATATTGCTGTGTCAACTTTTTGAAGAAAGAAGTTTTTATCTCTTTGTGACTGTAGCCCCTTTGAACTGCACTTTCATAGGAAGCCTTCTGAGTCTGTCGCATCCAAGTGTACTCGCTCCACCTCACTCCCTCACTCATGAAAGAGGCATTTGAAATGTAAAGTGTAAAGTGCTTTTCATATTCATTTTCTTGTTCCCACTGAGTGGATCTGAGAACAAAATCTAACCTCTGTTTCTTTTCTTTCTTGTCCTTTTATTTCCTTTTCTGTTTTGGTTGCTTCTCTTTCCTTAGTTAATTCACACCATCAGTGTGGTGGATAGAGACGAGCCACAATCTGGACATCGCTTCTACTTCACCCTAGCCCCGGAAGCTTCCAGCAATCGACACTTCACCCTGTGGGATGTCAAAGGTGAGAGGACAAAGGTCTTCTACTGGGGTTATGGGCGAAGATGCATACTTGAGTGGCTGCGCTATCAGCATTATTGCATTTTTTTGTATAATGGTACAAGCAGGAGTATTTAAGACTGGTTGTTATATTTTATGTGAGTGGGTGTGCGCATTTTAAATGTGCACAGGTGTAGCAAAACTATACTTGACTTACAAGATCATGATGAAGCTCATAAAGATGGAATCGTTTAAGATGTGAATATGATTGGCAATGCAAGAGTTTGCTTGAGGGCATTCTGCAAATGTAGACCTTAAGGCAATATTGAGTTAGTTTAAAGACTCCATCTCCCAAACTTTGTCAAAATACTTATCAATAATTTCAAAGTCTTAGTTTCCTCATTCATTTGCCAGATGGTTGATGTTTTGAAAAAAAAGAGACGAGGACTACACTACCAGAAGATTTTAACAATGGCAGGACAGTTTTGAATTGAATGCAAAATAGTCTATTTATTTCTTTGACTTAGCATTCACCTGATTATCAGGCAGATTGTTTTTATTATTTTTGAATAAACACCACCTGTTCTGGTCCTCTAAGCAGTGATATTATCAGAAAGTATGACATGCCACTAAATATTTGACAATCTGTACAATCTGTACAAAATTAATTTTTTACAGTTTGTCTGAAGAAGTTTGCTTGATTGTACAAACTGCAACGCTAAGTTAAGCATTATTTTCCACAGTAATAGCATTTTTTGTGAATGTCATTTTCTCTGAAATATATTACTGTTCTGCAGCACTCTGGTATCTCACCTGGCAGAGCTGGTACCCAATGTACCAAGGCTCTTTGCTGCATGTCATCCCCTTTCTCTTGGTTTACCTCCTTCCTGCCCATTTTGAACTGTCCTGTCAAATGAAAGCAAAAAGCATAAAGAAATATATGTATATATATATTAATATTACTGTTTTGAACACTGTTTAACACAAAATCTTTCCTTAATCCCACTTAAATGGAATGTCAACAGCTTACATAATTTTCTCAAGTGTCATCATGAAAATTTAATTTCACACAAACACATTTATCTGCGCAGTGTAAGTAGACATTAAAATCACTGTGCCCCCCAGTGATGACTTTGCTTTGTCAGGAAGATACATTTTTTTCATGCTTGTCTGTGTTTTTGCACACACGCTTGCAGATCCCTCGTTTAGAGATGTGTACCTAAGTGAATGTGACATCTGGTTAAATCAAGATTGATCTGACACCAGGAAAATGTCAGGGGAGCAGCCCAAGCTAGGGAAATGTCACCGTGTGAAGGCAGCAAGGGTCTGCTGCAGTCCTGCTCACATGTATCAAAGGATACACATATAACTTTGTGTAACGTACACACACAAAATATACATACACACGTGCATAGAAGAAATATGCAGAAGAAATATGACTGAAGTGTCCATCTTGCTCTTTCTTTCTCTCGTCTACATACACAAATATGGACTCAAACATGTACAGCATATACTTTATTTCACAACTACCTCAATCTGATTATGTGTGTGCATGTAGATGAAATATTGAAATGGTGTGTACGTTGGTGGCTATTGAGGGAATTATTAATAATGCTTGGATGTAAATGTTACACCTCCCACCCCAATGCATTTCATGTGTTCACAAACAAACACTATAGCAGACCCAGTATACATTTTGGTGAAAGACAAACAAAACCCCACACAGACTTTTTATCCTCCCACCCCTCTTTTTTTCCACTATGGTGTCTCTTTTCATGGACACATTTGTCAACCTGTCACTTTCAATCTGTCACTTCTTCTTTTCCCCATCATGGCCTCACATTGCGTTCTGTCTCCATGCCTTGACACACAATGATGAAAAGACATTTTTTCCCCATGTTGCTAAATTCTTTTAAGTCGTTGTTGGCAGTCTGCAGAGTCAAATCTTATCTTTACCAAATATACATACATGACAAACTGCAATCATTTTACCTGGAAAATGTCCCATTTGATGCTTAAAAAGAAATCTTGAAGAACTAAGAAGCTGAAGAAAAAAAGATATTCAAGTCACGTTTTAGTTGCTTCTTTGTCACTATTTGTATCTTTCTGTGGTAAACATTTCAAAAAGCATGCATATCTGCTACAGCAGGACACATTTATAAAGCATTCATTGCAAAGCTAAAGTGATTCAACATCCAGGAGGGCATATTCTTTGCGGTACAATAGCCACACAATGTCACTATAGTAGTCCTATACTGCAAGTCTTCATGTTGTTCTCCACTCACTTCATTTAGGCTGTAATATAGGCTATTCTTTTTTTCTATGCCTTTGTGCCTGTAAATGAATAGTATAAAGTAACTTGTTTATATATATAAAGTGACAGGGGATCAAGTTCAGGTTCAAGATTGTCCACAAAAAAGAAAAAAACACAAATAACATTTGTTTTTTAAATGCCTTAAATGACCTGTGTTCCTTCCAGCAGTCAACATTGCTTTCTCTTAACCATAGCCACGACCTTATTCTAACCTTAAACAAGTAGTTCTTATTAGCCATGCTAGCTGTGTGGCTCTAGAGATGGCAGTGTCCTTAAATCTCCCAAAAGTTACTGGATGGATTCGCATGATAATTTGTACAGATATCTATGGTCCCCAGAGGATGAATGCACATTTTTTTAGTGATCTTTTCAACTATCATCACCAGCAGGTCAAAATGTATCTTTGTCCAAGACATTGGTTTATGATCAAATATTATTATTAAAAAATAGCAAAACTTATCAGCAATCACTTGTACTTTGTGTATCAGTGCTAATTAGCAAATGTAAGAATGAAAAACATTATACTTGCTAAGCATTTTAGCATGATCACTGTCAGCATGCTGCATTTAGCACAAAGCACCGCTGTACAGTCTCCCATAACTGCTGATATGACTGTAGACTTTTTTAACTTGTCTTGTTTAACCTATGACCATGTCCAACAACAATGTCAGCCTCCCAAGAGGCTCATCATATATGCTCCTCTGTGTCCTTCTGGCGCCTTATATTGGGGTTATGGGAGAAGATGCTATGATGATGGTATTATCAGCATGATTTGATCTTTAGGGTATAAAGGCACAAGGAGACTTCAAGACTGGTTGTTATATTTTATTTGAGTGAGCGTGCGCATGTGTCGTTCTGGAAAGCAAAGACAAGACACCTATTGTGGTGTATAATTTAAAGCAATAGTTCTGGGTTACAGGGACCTTGAGGGGTCCTAGGCTGTGGGAGATTGTTCTAACTAAGTTTTTAACTAATTTTGATTAAAAATGAATTTTGATTTAAAAACTCCACAAGATGCCCCGGTCTACATGTATTCAAATGGGGAGAATTGTTTTTAAAGCAGACAGCTGTAGAAGAGAATGCTGCGTAAATGTCAAAAGGACAAACTCAGGGGCGCAACATTCCTGTACATAAACAGTAATATGAAGATTGTTCTACATGTGCCAGGGGAGCTCTAGGGTGACGTGGATAAGGGTGATATATGTTCTGGGAGATGGATTGCTTGGTATCCTCTGTGTAAGTCTACCCACAAAGCTTCTCCGACTCTATTTGTCAAAGCCTCCTCCTGTATTCTGTGTTACATTAATCTATGTCTCCGGGAGAGGGCTCATATATACACAGTAGTGAAGTTTAATTTTAAACAGTGGCTCTCTCACTCATTTCTCTCCTGTTTTTGTTTGGATTTAAAAAAAAAAAAACACATGATAAATGATAATAGGAGAAAAGCAGTTCATTTCCCAGAGAAATCATTCAACCTCAAGTTAAACTTGACAATCCTGGCACCCTTCTTCCGGAGTCCTTGAACTATTCATGATTGCATGGCAAATTATTTTTTCCGACTATGTATGTGACAAGGATGGCACTTTTCGGTCTGTATTTTTTTTATCATTTCAGCACTTGACCATTTTTTGAGGAAGTTTTTATTGTTCTTTTTGAATCAAATGGCAAGCAGCTTACATTTTCAAGTGTCAAGTCTTGAAAACTACGATTTGCCTTGACATTTTAGTAATGTCAAATAGGCCTGCATGATAAAAAAGAAATAGAACACACCCTTTTTCTATTTCTTCCATCAGTACAGTCTTGAGTTCAAAGGAGGAAAAACAAGAAGTGTAATAAAAGCACCCACTGGATGGAGTTTCATAAATTTTTCTGCAGCCTGGTAAAAAACAGACATCAGTGAGCAGACAAAGAGGTTTTCAAATATTAAGTCGCTCATGTGTAATTCTCTGCTTGTCTCTCTGACCCTCACCCCCTGACACACTCACACCACCCACCTAGACAACACAGCTGGAATCTGGACCCAGCGGTCAGGCTTTAACCGCCATGAGCAGAATGTGTACTTCCTGCCTATCCTGGTGGTTGACAGCGGGCCTCCCTCCCTCAGCTCCACAGGCACCCTGACAATTCATGTCTGTGGCTGTGACACAGGTAAGAGCTACTGTAGAAGTTGCACCATTAATAACATTATCATCACTGTCACCTTCTGCATCAGCAGCAGCAGTAGTAAAAGGTCATCTACATGCCATTGTTTTGGTCAGCAAACAGTTCTTATCAGCTTATATTTGTTGAAACCCAAATATCACAAGGCCACAAATCTGCAGACAAACTGTGATTTCAGCTGGGTGAAAATATAATATATGCATGATAAAATCAGTTTGTTTTTCTCTGTTGATAAAACAGGGCTTAATTTGTGTCCTCTGAACTGACTCTTAACTGGTGTTGAATCTGTACAGTAACAGCTAATTTTTCTTTTGCAACACAGAGGGAGCTATCCAGTCCTGCAATGCCACAGCCTATGTAATGAGTGCTGCTCTCAGCCCTGGGGCACTTATAGCCCTACTGGTCTGCATGCTCATCCTCATAGGTAAGCAGATGGATGTACTCATGTATGTATGTATGGATGGATGAGGAGATAAATGGATGGAGATATGATGGATGGCTATATGGATTGATGAGCACAATTCATTAGTATTGCTTTTCTGGGGTCATTGCTAAGTTCAACTTCTCCAGCAGGACCACCAGCAGCATTATGTTCAATAGTGGGATGTACTGGTAAGAAGGCAAGACTGAGGGCTGGACCTAAAGACACAACTCCATGTCCCCTGCTCATGAAATCATGCAACCAAGCATATGTCTTTTAATGGATTGACCTCTTTTAGAGGTTATCTATATTTCACGAATGAAATTGCACATGCAGTGGCAGACGAATGACATAAAAACAAGATCAATCTTTCATCTTTCTTTCATGAGTGGCTTTCCTTTGGACATTTTGTTGCTGCTTTTACGAGGAGAAAGCTTTTGTTTAAACAGGAGCACAGATGCCTGGGTTTATGAATGATATCAGGCCACTTTGATCCTTGGATCCACAGACAGAGATGGAATGAATGGGAGTGAAGTGGAGGAGGGGTTAGGAGAGCGCAAACAGGCAAAAGAGCTGCCTCAGCACTTGTATACCTCGGGAACGGCAGGATTTAAATAGACAAGGCTTTCCAGACATTCTCAGATTTTTATACACAAACACACATGCACACACTAATATACACATGCATGAACACGCTCACCCTCTCAGAGACCGGAGAGGTTTAGTATTGTCATGTCTAAAATTTTTATGAGTTAGCTTCTTGCTCTCCCCCCGCTGTACATCTTAGGATCCCACTCCTTAATGACAGAAAAAAAACGACAACACTGTCACAGTGTTTTGTCTCCCCCGCTCGCACCTATACACATTTTATATCATGCAAGCAGGAATGATGAATGATGATGACACCAGGCAGCTCTAACTGTAACTAACATTGCTATCTATTTCTTTTAGGAGGTTTTCAAATGAGAGTTGTTAAAACTCTGCCTCCATTAACCAAACCTTCTACTGGAGTGAACTTCAAAAGCAGGGCATCATTTATTCATCATGGTTTTAAAAGCCTCAACAAAATTTTGTGTACAAATCTGAGGCAACCTCTCCTAGCTATAAAAAAATGTGTTTGCCAGTGGTTTTGGTGTACTGGGCTAGATGACACCCCCTCAAAGGCCTGAGTTGCTTGGCCTTTAAATTTGTGGAAGGCTAGACACTGCAGGAAAACGCTGTTATGTGGTTTTCATTGCAACCACATTATGCGGAGTAACATGCTTATGCTAAAGACTGTGATTCTTTGACTATTTTGGTGTTATTTAGTGTAGTTTTGATTCTGCTAATGAAAAGATGTTATGTTGATTCTAATAGTGTCAGTGACTCTAATCGGCCCATGCCACTTTGAGTGACTGATACTGATTGGTAGAAAATGGGCTGAACAGGCCTCATCAAAGCACTGAAAGACAGGCTAAGTCGGAGCGCCTGGCTTCTGCCAGTCATTATGTGGATAGTAAAATCTCAGGGCTGCAGGGTTTGGGATCGGGGGGGATGAGCAGTGTTTTCACAACTACTGCGTGGTGTGAATAACAGACAGGAGCCAGGCATGTGGCAGCAATCTTATCGGTTGCACATTGGCCAACACTTTCCTGTTCCTGCTTTACTTACCATGCACACACACACAAATGTAGTGTGTGTCTGCTTGCACCTGCGATCCACACATCCATACGCTTAGACAAATCACTCCTCTCCTTTTAACTGCAATGCAATCCACTCTTTCCTTGCGCCATTAGTGTGCGTGCCTTGCCTTCTCACACACACTCATACTCGCTCCGCTCACACAGTGTCTGCCTAACCAGCCAGCCAGCAGCCCCTCTCTCCAGAGGCTGGACCACCTCTATTACATCAATTGTTGGATGATGAGAAAAATGAAAACAAATTTCTGCCTAATTACCTTACAAACAAACAGTCTCTCCATCAGTTCATTTATAGGCCTGATGTGATGAATCCATTCCACTGCGTCGCAGCATCTGCATGCATCTATTCCAATTACCTCCCATCTGCTTGTGATGAACTCCTGGGTGGGGGCAACCAGCGCAGCCCAAGGGTAAATTAACCGTCTTGTCAGGAAGGCTTATCGCAACATCTGTACACATGGGGACCAGCTTTGAATGTATAGGAGGCATCTATACACAGGTACATATGCTACCTACAAAGGTAGTGTAATAACATTGCCTGTGGTATGCTAATCTCCAAGTTAAATAGGTTTTCAATAACTAACAGTTCAAGCATCTGTGTACCAAATAGGATACTCGCATGTTAACAGTGAGGAAGGCCTTGTCAGAGTTATCTGATCCTCTTTGTTTCTGACTAAACTCTAACACACGCCTTCAATACTATTTATGAAAGAAGCAGCTGATCTGCATGTATGAGGGAGTTAATAACATCAACTTTTCTACCTCCTATTACTCTCCTCATTAGTGTGAATTTAGAGTAATTGTCTTAGCTCTTGTTTAGTATGCATGGCAGTGTGAGCCGCAATTTACCACAAACCAAGACTGTTTCCTCAACCCTGTGGCAATTAATTCACCCCATTCATGGAGAAGAAGAATAAACACAATGGTTACAGACAACGCTTTCCCAATGGAGCCCAGCAAACAATGTAAGAGGAGCACTAATGTACATTATCAGTCAGAGATACTGCATAAAATCCCCATTCAAGATCAGCAAGGCTCTTTAGGCAGGGAACACACGGGGCGTTTTCACTTCGCAAGTTATTTTTTAGGCCATTTACACCAAATGAGGACAATTACCGGGAGCAGCAACAACTCATTTGTACAGATTATATGCTTGAAACCGGTGCTTTTTGCCCTTTACTCAGGAGAAAGAAAAGACTAGCAGAAGGAGATGAAAGTAAAGGTGAAACATGGTGTTTTATAGTCACATCCTGACTTCCAAGGTCACTTTGCATTTGTCCATGGGCTTTTTTCATGCATACTAATATATATGCTTTAACATGTGTGGATTTCCTGTACACAGCACATAATGTCTTGACATTGATCTGGTTTGAATATGAAACAATGTGTGAATATCATTTTCACAATGTATGGGTGGCTGTCCTGGTGGGTTCAGAGCATCAAACAATCTGTGCCATCCCAGACAGCCCAGGCCCCATAATAATTGATAGTCTTTTTATCTCTGTGGGCTTGTAGGCATTTGTTTTAGGCAACAGGCTATCTGTTCCAGAAGATGCATGGTGCCTACTGGTTAATGATCTATCTAAATGTCTCTTCCCTGGCATCCCTTTAGAGTGGTTGCTCGTTGTCCTTGCTAAAAGGAAGAAAAAGAATTTCTGTCCACAGTTACACTGTAACACAGTCCTGGCCACAGGAAAATGTATCCTGCTGCCTATCAAAACTCAATAACTAAGGACAGATATTTTCAACTCCTTATCTGTGCATTAACTTGTCATCATTTATGCCTGATTTTTATCACCCATATTAATTATGTCTCAGCATTGTAGCATGGACTGAGTTGTTACTAATTGTGAAGATATTGTGAAGTGGGAGATCTTTTCAAAAGAACCACATTTATTTTAATTAGCCATCCATTATAGAGAAGGAAACAAATGAGCTGATCCACTACTATATACTGTGAATTCACACAATACGAAAGAAAAAGTTTCCAAGGTTATTATAATAGTATGCTCCTAAACTAATTGTTGTTTCATGGTTGTATTTACCGTGCACTGTACATCAATCCATGTTGACATTCTAATTTACTTAATTAATTAATTGGTTGATCAAAAAGAGGCTTGATTTCTTTTTATCTATAAGACTTTTGTAAATGGAGTTGCTCATTCTCTTTCTTATACTCCCCAGTGTGTATAACTCATTCATAACTGCCTGTAATAGCTTTTTATCATCACTGAAAGTGACATTTGCAAGTCTGAAACAAATCTGGTGGTGGTTTTAGGGAGAAGGGTGCAGCCCGCAGAAGGGATGATGGAGTCATGCAGTGGGTGTCTGAGCTAAGTGAGAGTTGTCTAATCACCAACGTAGGCAGTAATTAAAACAACTAAGCTGAAATTAAAGCCTCATTGATTCATCTGTGCATACAGCCTTTGTTTTCCTCTCGTTTCATTAGTTCATAATGTGATCCATCTCAGTGGCTTTCCATTTTTTAATCCAGACTTAATTTTCTTTCACTTTGTAGGTGGTTGCCTCAGGTTTTAAGTAGTGATGGAACCACAAAGTCTTTGTTTCACTCAACTTGGATGAGTATTGATATACAGATTGGTCTCCATTAGGCCTTTTGAATCATATTTCTGTGCAAAGCAATCAGGATTGTAAAAAATCAATGCTCATGCATTTGAAATGTAAAACTTGATAATATATTATCCTTCCCCGCTGTGCCTTTGTCCCGAGAGGTGAAAGTTACAATGGGAGTAGTTAGAAACTTTCCCATGGAAAGTACTTGCAAATCCATCACACAAAGTGCATGTTTAATGTGAAGCATTATGCAGTACGTACACATTTAGTGCAATTATATTCTTTAGTGCAGTTATTTTCTTTAGTACTAAATGCCCTGAATCTGGATTTGGTATATCATTATTCTCAGCAAGATGAAGAATAATTCAGTTTTTGCATGCAAGCTCTTTAAACTCAGCCTGACAACCCCTTAATCCATGTCTACTGTGGAGCAAGAGATTTAAAGCCACAGATTTCAAAAACACTTGCGGTAATGACAGTTTATAAAATCCCTTAAATGGGAACCTGTCTCCCCCCTGGCTTTTATCTTATCCTGCTGTTCAAGTTGATCTGGCAAATTCATATTTAACCTTTGTTGTGTTGTGTTGTGCACATGCATGCAACGTGTGCCAACACTGTGACACACATCAAGGTTTTCTTTGTAGATTTGTACAATTAACCTGTAAAATATTTGATCATCTTGGTGTTTCTTTCTTTCTTTGTCTTGTTCTGTCTCCTCCTCCATCAGTCCTTGTCTTGCTGATCCTGACCCTGAAACGCCACAGGAAGGGCCAGAGGATGGCCGAGGATGAGGAGGACATGAGGGATAACGTCATCAAATACAATGACGAGGGCGGCGGGGAGCAGGACACTCAGGCATATGACATGAGCGCCCTGAGGAACCTCTATGACTTCCCAGAAGCCAAGAGCTGTGACTCTGGCCCGGACATTCGCTCACTGCCGCAGTGGATACAGGCTAACAGGGTGGGAGGGGGTGCAGAGGGACCAGCAGCGGCGGCAGACTTCTCCCTATTCAAAGGCTACATCCGAAAGAAGGTGGAACAGGCAGATGCTGACCTGTCGGTGCCGCCGTATGACTCCTTCCAGACGTACGCCTTTGAGGGCACCAGTTCACCAGCGCTTTCACTCAGCTCCATCCACACGCTGTCCACCACCTCGGAACAGGATTTCTCCTACCTCAGCGACTGGGGACCACGTTTCAGGCAACTGGCAGGCTACTACGCTCCAGGAAACCTTGAGGAGGAAGGGTCCTAGCACAGCTTCTCCTCTGCAGAGACATTTAAACTCCCTCTTCTTCCTTCTTCTTCTTTGCCTCCTCTTCTCACCCTCTGGCACTCTACTGAGATCATCAGAGCCAGCACTGTGTACTCTTTAAGGACCACCTCTTTATCTCTGAAAGACAATTCACAGTGTAGAACTTTGAAATCAAGTTTTTTTACACTGTACGGCTTTTGTGAGAGTTTTCAAACATCAGCATGAAAGCTCTGATGATATGAGTAAGAGTGAAGAAAAAGATATCCAGTTACAAAAATTGCCATTTAGTCTGAAGGGAAGATTTTCTCACTCCCAAATCATAAATGACAACCTTTATTTTAAGCTACGATACTGTTTTCAGAGTTTAAAATATCAACATTACGTAGGTAGGGGTTTAACCATGCCAAGGGAAACTGTCTGACAAACATGTATTTATTTAAGGAGGAAATATTTATGTATTTATTTGTTTTTATGTATTTATTTATTTATTTATTTACACCATGATCACTATGGTAACTGCAACAGTGAACTCTGCTAAAGTGCAACAGAAAAAGGAAGTGGAGGAGGACATTATAAAAAGAATGAGACACAATGTGGAAGAGAGAAAGAAAGGACTGCGATGGCAGAGGACTACAGAATACTGGTGCAGAGGTGACATCTGGGTCGTATAAAAATTACATTCTGGAAAATATTTGTATTTATTTTCTATGACCACTTTTGTAAAATAGACGGATAGATGAAAAGCAGAGTCAAATAGAAAGAAGGAACAGATGGAGTGAAAGAACTGGAGAAGAAAAGAGCTGCCAGGTCAGTCTGAACGGTTGAGACTGACATACTTTTGCTGTATTTTTGTGATTTATAAAAGGGGGTTTTGGAGGTCACAAACTGAGGACAATTCTGTGTTAACAATTTCTTTTCTTATCGTCTCCACAGCCAATTGTAAGGCAATAAGGCACAAACCGCAACAGTGATTTAAGACTACACAAAATGACTGTTTCATGGAATTGGCTAGTGGCCAGCTTTGTCCCACAGGGAGACAGTTTTCATTCCAGATTTGTGTGTGAATGTGTACAATATGTTCAATTCATTTTATATCCTGAGACATTTGATTTTTCTTTTGATATTTTATTTACCTTTGGGGAGGGAGGGGGATCTTTTGACAGCAGGACAGTTGTGTCTGATTAAGAGGGAATGGGTTAAGCGTAACATGATGAATGGACTGGTCACATCCACCTGATATCCACAACCTATTCAATGTTGCAAATGTATGGAAAAAAAAAAAAGAAAACAAATAAATATTTAATTTTTTTGGTAAAAACCTACATCTCGCTGTCTGCAATGAACTAAATTACTCAGCAAGTGAGATCACAGTGATAAAGTAAATAGAGCATCCCTGTTACTAATTATTGTTTGCCACTTGTTTGCTGAAGATGTCTCCTGAATTATGAATAATTGTGGAGCTAGCGTGTGTTTACACCAGGGGTAGATTCAGAGAATAGTCCTAGATGGAAACAAACAGACCATATGACAGGCCACAGCCAAACAAAGACTCTCCTCTCAGCGTGGCTCCCTCCTGGCTGCCTTCTGCCAAACTACTGTAATTGTCGTAGTCACCAGAGGATGCTGAGGCATAAGAAGATGCTTTCATCTTTATGATCTGCTGCTAAAATAGCCAGTCAGGCAGTGGCTGAGATTCACATTCAATTGCTTTCATAACTGTGTTTCAAAGAAAATGTCAGCTTTTTTTCCCGGTCATTAGTAGGTCTACTGTATCAACTGATTGCTGAGAGCTGACTTTGGACTGTGTTTCAAACATAAATTATCCATCACTGAAACAACAAGAAGCTTTCTCCAGACTTTTAGTGTTCTGTTATGGAGCTGAAGTGACAGCAACTTAGAAAAAATACAAAAGTACTGCAGCTGTCACACTTTTTGTCTGTACAAGTGTGGGAATGATGCCACAATTAGCAAATTCAGGTTTTGCTCATTTTACAACAGTGGTGATAATCTGAGTCACCAACAAAAGTGTGTAATTCACCAAGGACAACAATAAATAGTCTGATACATTTGATAAATAGCCAGATACATTTGTAATTAAGTTAGGTCAAAGTTAAAACTTATATTGATTTCACAATTTTAATCACATTTTACGTAACTGCCTTTCTAAAAATGCAGCATTCCCCATTACTGCATTGACCTATACTGCTGCAATGTATGTATTTATTTGTGTATATCTGCCAAGGAGTAATTTGGCCATTTATTATTAATCATAGTCTTTAGCCCAACAACATTTGCTAACTGACAACCTAATATCATAGTCTGGATAAACACACATATAGGTCAGCATGAGCTCCACAGTCACAGTCACACAGTGGGGAGGTAAATACATGTGTGCCTTTAAAGAAACTCTGTACAAAACAATGCCATCTTGATGGCCATCGGTCTTGTGACTAATGCTGTGAAAGCTGAGTTTAAAGAGTAAGAACATATTCAGGGAAAGAAAGCTCCCCTGGTCACTTCAATCCTATTTTTCCTGCAAACATGCCTTTCATTTATTTTCCATCATTGTCACAGTAAATGTCATTTCCTAACGATGGCCTGCACATGTGAACATAAGAATGTGTTTCCATAAATCATACTATTTCCCCCCAACTCTAAGGGCAAAATGAGGCCCGTCATTAGTTATGCAGATAAATGTTTGGTGATTGACAGTTCTCTCGGGGGACAGCTGTGTGCACATAATATATCCTCTTCTCTTCTCACTTGGCCGTGTAATGACAATTGATTAAACATTGGGGGGAAATATGAATGGGCACTGCAGAAAATATCAATCATATATAGCCTAATAACTGCATAGCATTAGTTAAAAAAAGCATTTACTTTTCAGACACACACAAAACAAAGCTTTCACCTTTACCAGGCTAACAACAAATCCATTTAGCTAAAATACACTGAATAAGCAAACCTGAATTCAACACAACAAATGCAAATGCAGCACTCTGACAAGTTGAATTAATAAAGTGTGATGGCTATTATAGTTCGATGGCCATTGACTCTTAACAAAAATGGCACTCAGGTATAGAACTGCATGTATTTTATTTACAAAATGACACCTGTTCCATGTCTAGACAAGCACTTCATTCAAAGCTTAGATAATGACGATGACTGTCTTGTTGTTGTTGTTTTTGTGACAGTATATTACTTGGACCTGTGAAGATCATTCAATTTATTTTATACAACATTAAATAAAAAACAATAGCACCATTTGTATAGTACTTTGAAAACTCAGGAAGTGAAGTTAAGTGCTTGAAAATCAAATGAAAGGCCTTAAATAAAACAAAAAAACAAAGTAAGACATAATGAGCATAGAAAAAAAAAAGATAGAGCCATCAAATAGCATGCAAACTGTTTTCAAAACCACTTAACTTGTTTAGGACAGCAGTGGGCCAGGAGCCTTTCCCAGCATGCAGTGGGCAAAAGGCAGGCTACAGTTTGAACAGGTCACCAGTCCATCACAGGGTGAACACATACAAATACCCCAGGCAGTTAACAGTTTCCTCTTCACCTAACCTGTGTGGCTTTGGATGGCACCTGAAGGAAACCTTTGCAGGAACGTGGACCCAATGCAAACTCCACAGAGAAAAGAGCCAGGACCTTTTTTGCTTTGAGGCAACAGTGCCCCCATCAAATAAAAACACATCTACAAAAATATGTTTAAAGCCGTTAAGATGATATTGATTCTGTTATTGCCCAAGCTCCTCAGGCATGTTGTTCCAAATCACAGAGGCCCTGATGGAAAAAGCCTGGTTACCCCTTCTTTTAATTCTAAATGGTGAATCAGCCAGAAGGGCCCTGCTCGAGGATCAGAGGCTGTGCACTTGCTCAAAGAGGGATAAAATGTGTGAAGTATAGCCAGGGGCCAAACATAACTAAGCTTTAAAGCTGATCAGTAGAATTTATAAGTGACAATTTTGCTTTTTGCTGGCTGGTAACACATTTGGTTTTATGCTTTTGTATAGAGTATCTAGATAAGGAGTCTTAACAAGGATAAAAATGTCTAAAAACTCCATCATGCATATAAGTGTTGCAAGTACTGCTGCTCCCACTGAGAATCAACAGCTTTATGCAGGTTTCATCTGCTTGCTGTTTTCTTCTTTTGGTTTGTTGGTCTGTGTGAATGAGTCCCTCTGGCTATCACAACTCCCCCACATAAAGCTGTACTTTCCAGTACCTTTCAGTTCACAAGTTTCCAAAATGACCGAAAAAAGGCAGAGAGCCAAAGTAAGCACCAAGCAGGACAAATAAGCCGCACATAGCAAGTCAAAGACTCAGATTTCCCTCAGGGGGTACTCCAGTGGAATATGTACGCATTTGCCCCTTTCTTCTGGACATGTAAGTATTGTACATGTGAAACAACTGTTTGCTAATATGCTAGCCACAAGAACTTAAGATGATATGGTTTATAGAGACTTGCTGCTTTTTCATTCTTATGGTCAAAAATCTTTAAAGTTGAATTCTGAATAATGACACTTCTACAACTGTCACATGTCGTGTACTGGATTAGAGCACCATATTGAATGTCCTATCTTCAGATTTGGTAACTGTCCTTGAACTGTCTGGTTCAAGTTTAACTTCTTGCCACTGTAACATATTATCTACAGCAGTGGTTCTCAACCTTGTTGGCTAACCCCCAAACTGAGAAACATACCCATATTTGATAAGATTAAATAATAATGAAATAGAAAAAACAACAAAACACACACACACCTATATATATATATATATATATATATATATATATATATTTCACGATGCCACTACAA